AAAATGTAGACAATGTCTTCATGGAAGGTTTTCTGAGAGAATTAAATACCATCATGTATATATCAGTACTCGGAAAACCATAAAATACTATATTGACGTAAGTTAGTAGTATTTGAAAAATGTAGAATATGTAAAATAGCAAAAATGCTTCAATGTATGCATTTAAAATATTTTAATAAAATACCATCATGTATATATCAGTACTCGGAAAACCATAAAATACTATATTGACGTAAGTTAGCAGTATTTGAAAAATGTAGAGTATGTAAAATAGCAAAAATGCTTCAATGTATGCATTTAAAATATTTTAATAAATACTTCAAATTCCAAACTGTATGCTTTGCTTTTTCATATATATATATACACACAAAAATATATGTATATATTATATATACCATATATACCATATATAACAAATCATATCTCTCTATATATTTGCCATATATATGGCAAAATCAGCTAACAGATGCTATCTGTGGCCTATGTAGATCTCTTTTCAAGATTTTCTAGAAATGTATGGATGGATGTAGTATGTAGTTTGCATTTTTCTAAATGTCAGTTTCATCAGCAATACTGAAATATCTCATTCTTCTTTTGTCTTCTAGGAAAGTTCCGTGAACAATGTTGTTTGCACACGGATATATGAGAGAGTATAAACAAACTCAGTCTCAAGGTCGTAAGCATTCCCAAACTGCTGAGGCTGTTTAAATAAAACTCCAAAGTAAAATATTGTGACTGCTAATGTCAGAGAGTGTTTCTGTGCACAAGTATCAACCATTTTGGTTGCACTGTTAGATATGTCTACGTCATATAGTACCTTGGCATTTGCAGTTATCAGAAACAAGGATGATACATCCCATTCAATGCAAGGCTGGGATAATATATTCAGCGAGACACTTCATGTTGACTTTTTTCTTATTAGGCATATTATGTCCGTCCTTTAAATTCAACATGATCTTCACTATATTGTGAAAATAATATTAATTGTTTTAATAAACTAGTCCATAATGTTTCTCAAAGATTCTATCTCAGTTATACTTATAAAAGGATAAGAAACATGTTTAAAACTAAGGTAATAACTGATACTGATAGCAAACTATTATTGCAGAGAATACCACAACCACTACCACCCTCACTGAAAGCCACTGCAAAGAAAACATTCTGCGTTATTTGTACTAAACCTCATACCATGTTAGGCTTGGGAGGTATTTTAGAAACCATGTGAACTGGCTGCCTCATTTTGCAGATGAGAAAACAGGTCCAGATTGGTTAACTGTACACTTCAGTAACACCCAGGTGGTTTTAGGTAGAACTGGAACCAGAATTCATTTTTCCCAATTATTAATATCACAACTGTAATAAAGCAAATTTAGGTTGGAACAGTTAGGTAGAAACAGGATCATGGTGTACAATTGTGAATCAAGGATAACACTACATCAAACTAATGAATAAACAAGCTTCCCTTTGACTTAAAATGTGTAACAGGATGCTACAGCTTAGTCCAGACAAGGAAACAGAGTGTGACCAATTGAACTGTGGCCTGTAACTGCTTACAATTATTTGCCTGAATTGATATATGGGGTCTTGGTATTCTGAAAGAAGTGAGAGAAGTGCTTGCTTATTTTTGGTGTACTGAAATGGTGAAGACAATGGAAGGCATAGAAAGACACCTGTCCCCAGAACTGTTAAGACTGGACAGAGGGGCTGAAGGAGAGGCAGAGGCTGAAGGAGCTGTTTTCCTGAGGTCCTGTACATGGCTGTGGATGTGGGCCGTTCTGCTGCAGGGTCCAGGTAACAGCTTCCTGCACAGAGACACAAGAGAAGTGGTCTTCTCTTTGGAGCCCAGCACTGCTCTGACACATCCAGGGTGGCTATGGAAGCTTTGGGAAAGAATACACTTGGCTTGGCATGAGGGTGTCTTTCCTGCTATGGTAGTGGACATAATCTTGTGGGCTGTAGGAGCCAGTGAAGGAAGTCTTGTGATGAAGAAATAGTTACCAGATACCAGGATAACTATCAGACTGTGCTGAGGCTATGGGACAGGAGGGACATCCCCGAGGACTCCCAGAAACACCTGATGGGCAGGGTCTGGGAGCAGGGTGGACTTTGCAAGGGCTGGAATTCTGCATGAGCATGTGTGAGCAAAAGCATGACGTTTAGATATTGATGTTAATGTCATTTTATTTGTCAACAATCTGATGAAGTCTACCTCAAACACACACACACACACACACACACACAAATACGACACCACCAAAGATCTTCAGGAGAGGTAAGCAGCACACCTACCTTCTTCCCACCCCTTTACTCAGTTGAGAATCAATAAAGTAGAAAGTCATTCACTGTGGCTGGTGGAAGTGCATATCCCTCAGGTACGGTTGAGCAACCAATCTAAACCAAACAGAACAAGATCCAACACTGCTCCAAAATGATAGTGTGATTCAGGATTTGCTGCACATCCACCATGCTCCCGGCACCGCATGAGAACTGGTGATGGGAGGAGAACTAAGCTACATTTGCTGCCCTTGATCAACTCATTGATATATTGGAAAGATATCAATGTGCACATTAATCTTGGGAGTTTATAAGCAACAGGTTTTAAAATAAATGACTCCACCTGGAGAGAAAGATCTAACATCACTTCCCTGTTGAATAATTGCTTTGCTGGGATGAAGGACAACTAGCAACGGGGTGGCAGACACACAAGCAGTGAGGACAGCAGTCTGGAGGGACAGCATGAGTGGACTCACCACTCGTTCCCACAACCTCTGTCCTAGAGTTTGTCCTTCTGTGTCACAGCCTCAGCATGGTCTGCATCAATTCAGTTCAAGTCAGTAATTATTATCAGGATAGTTAAGGAATGTGGAGTTATTCCTAGCAAGGCGCAACCTGTTCTTCCTAAGCTGGGAAAAGTTTTGAGGTTTTAAAAAAAAAATCTTTTTAATTCAGATTTTGCCAAAATACTACTAGAATAGAAATCAAAAAACCACTGACTAAAGAAAGGGAGGATATTTAGATTTATTTAAACAGTAGAATTAATGATGAATATTTCCTTAATGTCTCATTTTAATGATTCTGTTGACAATAACCTGAGATATAAAGTAAAATAAAAATTATAACAGACTGTTTTTTTTGGCATACTTAAGTGCCACACACTGTGTTTAACACTTTCTACGCGTAACCTCATTGTCTCCGTAATATATTCATAAAGATATAAACTAAGACTCAGAGAGGTTTAATATTTTGCCTAAAGTTCCTTAGCTGATCAATACCAAGGCAAGAGTTCAAAACTAGTTCTCTGTGCCTCCAAAATCAGTTTTCTAGCCACTACGCCAGAATGCCTCTCCAGAAATCAATAATTATTAGAATTTCTTTGAGAGTCTTTCTTTTCTTTTCTTTTTTTTTTTTTTTGTCTTTTTCCTGACCGGTAAGGGGATCAAACCCTTGGTGTGGTGTCACCCACACCGCGCTCAGCCAGTGAGCGCACCGGCCATTCCTATATAGGATCCGAACCTGCGGCAGGAGCGTCACTGCGCTCCCAGTGCTGCACTCTCCCGAGTGCGCCACGGAGCCAGCCCTGAGAGTTCTTTCTATGTAATAATAAATATGATAAATAAATTCATAGTTAAGACCATTAACCTGAAGTTGTAACTCCTGAGATATCCACCCTACCTAAACTCTCATGCCCTAAACTGACCAGAAAGATTCCTTTTTTGAGCTGAAGACTGAAGAAATAGAAAACAACCAAACTTGGACTAATCCATCACTTTTGTGTGACAAGTTTTCCAGGAAATGGTTGCTCGATGTGCTAAACAAAAGGAATAAAAATTAAGGATCTGGGACAAGAAGAGTTGAACTAAGAGAAATAAATGGTCTTACAAGTTTTAGCTTAGCATTTATAGGTGAGAATTGTGTTTAAAAATAAGTTGGGAATACTGTTATGGGTAATAAATTTGGGAAACTTTCAGACTGTGTGTAGGAATGTTATGCAAATATACTTTTAGCATTACGCAGGACTCTGAGGATCATAGAGTAGAACTCTTCACTTAACAGATTAGAGAACTGAGGTCCCCTCAGAGAAGAAGGTGACAAGGCCTTGACTGGTTGTCCTAGCTCTGCCTGACTGCTGGTGTGTTGTGTGGGTTTGCTCTGAGCAAATGCTATAAACCATACTAAATCCTTATGGGTGAAATCAAAGGAAAACTGAAGTTACGATTCTAGACCACTTTGACCAGAAGAAGTGTTGATGAGATATGACATTTAATTAAATGAATGTACTGAATCCAGTCCAGTGCCAGGTGCAAACATGACACTTTTGCTGACAGAAAGAGACTCATTTAAGCTTATGGCAAAAGAACTATCTATCTCACTCATAACTGGGAGCTGAATTCATACACAAACAGATAAACAATAGAGACGGAGAGAAAGAAAGAAACAAGAACCACAGTAATATGTTGAACTCTTAGAAAGAGAGAAAAGAACCGCGGCTACTAGAGGTGGAAAAGGGGAGGGGAGGAGGCGAGGGAGGGGGGCTAATGAGGAATTGGCTAATGGACACAAAGAATGATTGTATGTTGTAATGATGAATAAGCTAACTATTCTGATCTAACCATCACACATTGTACACAATTATTGAAAATCAATGTTGTACCTCACATGTATGTATAATAAATTATCAAAAAAAAAAAAACTATCTGTATCTTGCTTAACTTTGTGGTTTGAACTCTTCTTTTCATAAAACTTATTGACTGACTTTTGGCTACCAGCAGTTTTCAAACATTTTTCCAATCAGTGGACCTTTCATATCAAACAGATTGTATGCAGAGACCTCATGTGGGAAAAAGTTCAAGGCAAAGCTTCATGTCATCTGCCTTTTATATCTCCAAGGACAGCTCCAGAGAAAACCTTTAAAAATGACTTTCGAATGAACCTCCTGTCTGCTGATAGCCCTAGTTTTCTGTTGATATTACCCTTTTTTTCATATCAAAAATTGTCTATTATAGTCATTATCAGGAATTATTTATTATGCTTTCCATTATTCAAGGAATGATGCAGGTTGATATGGAAAGAAATGTAGAAAAAGACAAAATTGAATAGTTTTTGATCAAGTAATAAGATAGACATCACATCAGTTATTTCAATAAAAAGAATTTTTTGCCTTTCTTAAAGCAGCTTTATTGAGATATAGTTTATATACAAGAAAGCTCACCTGTTAAAGTATACATTTCGATGATATGTTTAGTATATTTACAGAATTGTGTAGCCACAACCTAATCTAATTCTAGAACATTTTTGTCACCCCCAAAGGAAATCTCGCACCACTAGAAATCATTCCCCTTTTCTTCACCCTTCGCCCCTGAAACCTTAGGCAGCCACTAGTATATTTTCTGTCTCTAGGGATACACGTCTTCTGGATATTCCATGCAAATGGAATCATACAATACATGGCCTTTTGAGACTGGCTTCTTTCACTTAGCTTAATGTTTTCCAGGTTCATCCATGTTGTAGCATGTACCAGCACTTCATTCTTTTTCATCTCTGAATAATATTCCACTGTATGAATATACCACATTCTATTTGTCTATTCACCGGCTGATGGACATTGGGTTGATTTTACTTTGGGATTGTCATGAATAATGCTGGTATGAACATTTAT